TTCCTTGCGCAGTCTGACGTAATGATTGCTGGTGTTGTCCAGTATTTCGGTATTTTGAAATAGAATTTCATATCCATTTTGTTTTAGGGCATGTTCAGCTACTGCAGAGTTTTCTGGAGACACTCTTGATGGTTGCATCAGGATGGCTGATAATCATATCCCACCCCTAGAGATTCATCAGATCCGAGCTTCAGGAACATCTATAACTCATTAGCTTTTTCTGCTTTGAAGTGTGATGCAGTTCAGTACTTTCTAACATTCACAGATATTATTGAATTTCACCACCCAGAAGCCTCAGATCAGAGAGTCTTAGAATTGCAGTTCAACCTCATCTGAGGAGCCAGGGTTGGGAGTGACTGATTTGAGGCGGCTCCAGAAAGGCAGTGGAAATGACCCCAGCTGAACATTTATATTTGGAGTCATAACATTTTTAGGATTATTTTATATTTGCGCCTGCCAAGAACCTTACTTGTCCCATGGGATTTTAAAAAAAAGTGACTTCACCTAACTGTGTCAAGAGTGAAGTCTGTAATTTCTATAAGGAAACCAGGTGCTCCATTATTGAACATGGAAGAACATTTCCCCAGATGAGTTTTCTGGTAAAAGAAAGCAGCAAATAGCAAGAATGTTCGTCAACTAGAAGGTTGGCACCTCCAGCATCAGTATTTCCCAAATTCTCCTCTTTAATATCCAAGTTTCCCCTTCTTTGTACTGAAGGATGTGATATACTTTTCTGAGAACCTCAGCGTCTGCTAACATGTACACTAATATTCATAAAAATGATAATCCACAGAACATTTCTAGAGAGGAAGCTTTTGAAAATACACAAACTCACTCAGCTGAGAACAGAGAAACCTAAAGATATCCGAGGCTCAGAATTACTCTATACTCTCCTTTGTCCTGAATGAGTGCATAGTCACTTTACATTTTATCTTGTTGCAAGACGAGAAAACTTACTTGAGGTGGTGCTTTCTTCAGCAACACCAGAAGAGCCTGCAATACCAGGTTGGAGAACCGTGGCCCAATTGGAACATAATCTGAAACACAAGAGAAAGAAGACCACTTATTAAGGACTCTATGGACTGAAAGAAAGCTGTCATTTTGCTCAGACCTCTGGAGGACTGAATCAACAGTGCGAACATTTATCTACTCGTCTGGGGACTCAACCCCATAGCATGTCTTGAACTGTTCACCTGAAGGATGTCAGGTAAAGGTAAAGGTAAAGGTCCCCCTTGACAATTTCTGTCCAGTCATGTTCGACTCTAGGGGGCAGTGCTCATCCCCATTTCCAAGCCATAGAGCCAGCGTTTTGTCCGAGGACAATCTTCCGTGGTCACATGGCCAGTGCGACTTAGACACGGAACGCTGTTACCTTCCCACCGAGGTGGTACCTATTTATCTACTCACATTTACATGCTTTTGAACCGCTAGGTTGGCGGGAGCTGGGACAAGCAACGGGCGCTCACTCCGTCGCGTGGATTCGATCTTACGACTGCTTGGTTTTCTGACCCTGCAGTACAGGCTTCTGCGGTTTAGCCCACAGCGCCACCACGTCCAGACATGGATTTAATTCCTGTGCCACTCCCAGCTCTGGCTGGTATAAAGGAAGAATCAGCACAGAAGCTGTTTATTCAACTATTCAAGGCTCCTTTTTATTGATAGGCTGCAGAAGGTCAGCTGACCCTCTCTAAAACCCATAAAGGCTTCCACATCGGTCTTACCTGATGACCTGAGGAAATGAGATACTGACTTTTGATGACATGTGGACTGCCTTCATCTTCTTCGCTGGACTTTTATTCACCCTACCTTCAACTATACAGCAGTAACACCCCAATCTACTGTCCAACACACTACTGAATGAAGCTGCCTTCATATTAAAGTTCAAGTGCTTCAGAAAGAAGAGCCCTGGCAAGGCTAGGCAAGGCAAGCTATGGAAGTAGATCCTAGCTCAAAATAAGCCTCACATTAGTCTTCTTTACCTACATTCGTCTTCACAACTATGTCACCTTCCTTACCTAGAAGCCTTTCAATGTCATCCACCACCACACAGCTGAGTTGAGACTTGTAAGCATCATCAAAGATCTGTTTGTTGCAAAGTAAAAAAAAAGGGAAGAAAGGAAGCATTCACCTCTTAGTGTTACAGTCACAAGGACCTTCACTGTAAAGCAAATCAAAAATCATGGTTGGTGGAACTTGAATCCGTACTTATACAGACATCACTTTATTTTGATTTTTAACAGTAAAAATACACAACGCACACTGTAGACCTATACTCAAAACTCAACACATTCTATTCTAAGACTGTGAAAATATTCTCAGAATGCACCACAAATTCCAGGAGTAGCAACTTGGCAATCGTGACTGTCCTCAGCAAGCCCAGTCAAGCCTGAATAACAGGTGTTTTGAAGTCTTTACTAGAAATGCAACAATTAATGAAAGAATATTGTGTGTTACATATTGCTAGTAATTTTCTCTGTCCTTTGGAGAGGTTACTAAATGTTTCAAATTCTTTAGAGAAAATAGCCCCCCTCCCTTTTTTAAACCAAGCACTGTCTCTAACTATGGCCCAGATATCTTGAGAGAATGCATATCAATATATTAGAGAGATTATAAATCCTCAGGAATTTGAAGAAAAAATTTGGGGGGGGGGCTCTGAATATTTATCTCCAATAGAGAATCAATTTACTATTTTTAGCAGAAGTTTCTGAATTCATGAATTATGTTGGGTGGGTGCAGATTCTGGGCTTTTTCCTTCTCAAGTCAAGTAAACAAAGATAACTTTGTTTTGTCTTTGTGTGTTCCATTCAACTGAGGCATCACCTATGGCTAAACAAGTCTCAAGAGGTTCTCCAGTGTTGCCTTATAATTCTCTATATTTAAATAAAGTATATAAATATTATTACTTCCTAGAGCTTGGACATCTGGTTTTTTTTTGGACTACAGTTCCAAGAACTGCCCAGTCAGCATGTCCATGGCCACGTTGGCTAAGGAATTCTGGGAGGTCTAATCCAAAAAAAGAGGTAAGATTTCCAGACCCTATTACAAGTCAGCATTAGATTATTTTAATTTAAGAACAGAAATGAGCACAAACTGCCAGTTCGGTGGTTTATGCCAGTTCGTTTAGCAGCTGAACCGATGTTCACCACTTCCCAGCTCTGCCTCCACCAGCAGGCGCCCACTTAGAGGCAGCACCTGGAGGAGGCGGGGCAGGGAAGTCAGAGCACTGCCTCTGCGTGGGCGCCCACCAGCAGAGGCAGGGCTGGGAAGGGTTGCTGTTTGGCTTCTAAACAAATTGGCACAAACTGCTCAACTGACAGATCATGCCAATCTCTATTTAAGAACCTTGAACCATGCCATTATTGCCGACTGTGAAACCCTATTTCTTGTCCTAGACTTTTATTCTATAGGTCTGGACCATAAACATGCCAATCTGAAATGTGGTAAATAAAGAACAATAAAATGACAACGCTTAAGGAGTATCATTAACTTTATGGAAAATTAAGAATGGGGTGTGTGTTCCCACATTATCAGATGTAGAAGACTGGCAATATATTGTCTCCCTAGTGTGTTTGGAAAGTGGTTCAATAAACAAGATTCTTAACATAACAATTATTACATTGAAATGTAAATCTCATATGCAAGGATTACTTTCATCAGTTATTATCTTTTACAATCTAAGTACAGCATTTGTGGTTATGCAGCTGCAGGCAATGCAAACAAATTGCTTTAGATGGTAGATACCATATTTTCCATGTATAAGACTATACTTTTGTTTAAAATCTTTAGACTAAAAATTGAGGGTCATCTTATACACGGAGGTAAGCTAAGGGGAGAAAGTGGAGCTTTCTCCCCTCAGTGGAGGAGAAAGCAGGGATCAAAGTGATCCTGCAGGGCTTTGATCCCTGATTTCCCCATCACTTGCTAAGTCCCAGTTCGATTTCTCAATTTTGGGTTAGAAAAGTGGGGGGTGTCTTATACATGGGGCGTCATATACACTGAAAAATATGGTACTTCTTACATTTCTTGTGCCTCTTTGCCATTAGTGTGCCCCCATCACACAAGGGAACATTTATCAGCCTTCTACCAGGCTTGATAATGTTTATACTGTAATAATTAAAAATAATACTTAATACTAAATAATACTTATATGGTATAGTATAGTATATAGTATTATATAGATTTGCCATATATATATAATAACGAGCATTCAAATTGTTTAACATAAAGGACATCACATTATGACAACCAAGTAGAGATGTAAACCATTTAGGTATCTGTTTTTACGGTATTTCTTCTCTAAAATCATAATGGCCTCCTAAGTTGCCAATATATGACCACATTTAGGTGAGTGTATCAGCACTGCTCTTTACAAGAAGGAAGCTGATCCCTTCTCTGGATTTCAGGATGCCTTTTAAAAAAATCAAAAGAGAACAACACCCTGTCCCATCTCCTTAGATGAACACCCACTCAGACAAGGAGGCAGGACAAGCAAACACTTCCTCCTGCTGGGGACTCATCGAACAGTCAAAGAGGAGAAGGAGAGGAGCATGTTCTGACTCATGAGTGGGTGATTGGCCAGGGAGGTGGGGAAAGGGAAAGTGCAGCACCTGTGATGCTGTGCTTACAAATTGGCGCAAATCTATGAACCGAAGTTTGTGCCCATCTCCAGTTCTGATCACAAGAGGCAATTGTACAGAAAGCTCTCTGAAGTACACCTTTGCTTCTGCCTATCTGCTGAATGCCAGTACTTATATGTGCTCCTCGTGCCTGCTTCGGTCCCTGAAATTCCTTCACTCTTCATACTTTTGTCCCTCTATCTGCTACAAGGCAGTTTCTACAGAATCACAATTTATACCTTTTTAATGGCCTGGCACTTAGCAGTTTCTGAAAAGCCGATCATCTTATCAGGAGAGCAGATCTTGATAAAGGGGAAGTTAGATTCTTCTGCAATCTTGGCAGCCAGGGCTGTCTTCCCACTGTGAGGTGGTCCTATACATGAAAAACACATCATGAGACAGACAAAACTGAACAACAGGGAGTAAACTCAGGTGAGCTCAGAGAAACAAATCAGGTTTGAATGAAGCCACTTGTGTGATGGCAATAAAAAGGTTCCTTTACTCGAGAGGCACCCCAACCAGCAAACTTGTAGTTTCAAGTGTGTCTTGAGGGCTGCTAAGGAGAGCACAAAGCACTATCAGTATATTGCTAACTCCACTAAACCTGCAATTTTAGGCAGCTTAAGAGCCTTGCTAAGACGTCCTTGTTGTGAATGACTTGAGAGCATTGTGGCCTCCACATATCTTTACTAAGTTGCTGCTGGGCCCACTCTTTCTGCTGAGCATACAACTGATCTGCTTTGTGGAGATGCACTGATGTAGGATTGTGATCTGAAGGGGGGGGGTACTTTGTGGCAGACAGAACACTAAATAGTAGGGTTTGGAACAGTGATTTCTAACCTTGGGTCCTCAGATGCCTTCACTACTAGCTGTATTGGCCAGGATTTCTGGGAGTTGTAGTCTAAGAACACCTGGGGATCCAAGGTTTGACAGGTCCAGGGACTGTAGACATTAAGTGGTGTCAAAAACAGCAAATGCCCTTAAGAAAAAATGAACTGTAAGTGGCTCAAAATCCATATTCGGTTTTAGGAAAAAGGGTAGTTTGGAGCATTAAGAAATCCAATAGGTTTCTCTTTGATTTTTACTTAAAAGAGTACAAACTAATGAAAACTTTCAAGAGCTGAAAGTTTGTCTCTTTGACGGAAAAAGAGGAGAGAAAGGCTAGGGCCTACAAAAAGAGCCTTAGTGGTCATACTTGGCCCACCATGGGTTTATACTTACTAGGAATTTTTAATCTCTGGAGGAGTAGAGGGTTTATTAAAAGAGCCACACTAGAAGTCTTACAAAGCTACATGGGGACTCTTGGGGATTCGACCTTGTGGGTTGCTGATGCTGGCAACCAGGCAGGAACAAGGGCACCATGTTAATTTCACTCAGTAGTTTTTAATGCAAATCAACTATGTTGTTCTTCTTGATTACTTTTTCTTTCCCATCCATCCTCCAATCTCCCTTTTCATTTCTCTTTCAAATATCACATCAGATCATGATTTCTGGTAGCCATAGTTAAGAAACAAAGCCACTATTTCAGCTATTAAATTCCCAGCAAGTAAATAATTCAGAAGAAATTGTCTGTTTTAAATTCATCCTGATGGCCAGGATGCTACAAACCTAAGCCCATTTTACCAAAGCAGTTAACACAAATAGTGGTTCCAAAACCCATTTCAAATACTGGTTTTCAGTTTTCATTTGCCTGCAGATTACATTTAGTCAATTTAGTCATCACAACAAGCCATAAGTAAGCTTCCTTAAATATGGTTTGATGTGGTATTTGCATTAATCTAGCACGTATTACTAAGCAAACTGATGCCTAATCTCTTCAAGACTTCAGTGACTTCCCCGCATAAGTTACAGGACTTCTCAAATTCTAAAAGTTCTTGGGCACAACTGTTTTGTTACAACATCTTCAGTTTATCAGTTGTAAAAGAGATAATTCAGAAAGGGGAACCTACCTTCCAAAAGAACACTGACCAAAGGAGTACGATCACTGTTTTTGGCCTGATTAACCAGGAGCTCCCCATCATCCAGCACTCGAGTAACAGGGTCACCCCATTTAATAATGCCATTCATGATGTAGCTGGCATAGTCCTCTTGATTGGTCCCAAATGCCTGCACATTGAAGAGAAGGAGATATTGTAAAAACCGAGAATCAGCTGCAAATCCATTCCAGTCTGCCATTGTCTATCAGGGTATAGACAATCTTAGCAAGTCATATAAATGGTCAGTAAGAATTAATAGGTGTCCACTCACCGGCTTGATATCATTCTCCAAAGAAGCTAAAAAATCTCCCCTTGTCACCTGAAGGGACTCTGCTTTCTCCATATCAACTTCCACTTTGCTGGTGGCCTGATTACAAGAAGGGATGGCAAATTAACACAACCTAGAAGCATGGACTCAAATACACAGTTACTACACGTCAAACAGTTATTCTCATACTGTCACTCCCAGAGGCACAGCTGATAAGGATACAAGAGGAAAAACCGTCTTGATAGCTGCTCTCAAATTTACAGAACTCCCTACAAAAAACGGCTACATTGGTTGTCCTTCTTAAGGGCCAACAAGGACCTTTTTTATTTGAACAGGTTTTTGGCAATTAACTAGCTGCTGTAAAAAACCTTTAGGTAAGTGGGTGCCATGTTTTTCAATGTGCTTTTAAACTAGCTTTAATTTACCGTATTTTCCCGTGTATAAGACGAGTCCCACTTTTCTAACCTCAAATTAGAAAATTTGATCACTGTTTTCCCCCCTCCCACTTCCTAAGCCCTGTGAAAGCAGTATCAAAGGGCTGCGGAAGTGGAGGGGGAAAGCAGTGATCTTAGGAAATGGAGGGGGAAACCAACGATGAAAGGGCTGCAGGCTCGCAGTCCTTTGATCCTGCAGCCTTTTCATGGTTGGTTTCCCCGCCATGATCCTGCAGCGCTTTGATCCTTTCCCTCTCTTAATTCCATGTGTATGATGACCCTCAATTTTTAAGTCAAAATATTTTAGATAAAAGTATTGTCTTATAGTTTCCCTGCCGGGATCCTGCAGCACTTTGATCCCTTCCCCCTCTTACTTCCATGTATATGATGAGCCTCAATTTTTAGTCAAAGTATTTTAGATAAAAGTATTGTCTTATACATGGAAAAATATGGCAATTGTGTTATACTGTAATAAACTGGAGTCAAATGTTATACCTTACTTTCTAGTTACCTTGTCATTAACTGCTTGAGTCCCAGTTTGTGAAAACGGCAAGATTAAATGGTTTTACTGTAATAAACTGGAGTCAAATATTATACCTTACTTTCTAGTTACCTTGTCATTAACTGCTTGAGTCCCAGTTTGTGAAAACGGCAAGATTAAATGCAGGTATGCATGCATGCATACATACATACAGAGTAGCAGAATTAATAGCAAGCCCTGCAAGAATCTACATATCCCCAGCTTCCATTTAAATAACTGTTTCAAGACCTTTATTCTCAAAAATTATGTTTGGAACAGAATTGTATTGAGTATTTCTATTCTTTGTCCTTTAAGTTCTGCTAAATCTCCTCTGATTGTGCGAACCTACAGTGGGGTCTCGACTTATGAACGACCCGACTCTGTTTGGAACAGAATTGTATTAAGTATTTCTATTCTTTGTCCTTTAAGTTTTGTTAAATCTCCTCTGATTGTGAGAACTTACTTGTTTTCCTCATCCACCTTAGCATCCAATCTTCATGGTCTTGTCAGAAATGATTTCAAACCATCCAAGCCCACTGTACTTGTTTTCCTCGTCCACCTTAGCACCCAATCTTCATGGCCTTGTCAGAAATGATTTCAAACCATCCAAGTAAATTTAATAGAAAGTCTGGACTTAGACAGAGTCTACTTTGCAGATGGGGTACTGGAGACTGTTCTAACAGTCATTTATCAGATGGCACCCAGGATGTCAGCTTTTCCAAATAGAAAGCATTTAGCATAATCCAAGAATAGCTCTGTATAATGCTGAAAGCTGTTTGTGTGCTGCCCTGTCTTGGGGTAGCATTATTTTAATACAAGTATGCATATAGAAGTCAGTACCTACATCTTCCTTCCACATTACATTTCTCAGTTCTTTTGCTATAGGTATTTTCCCCAAAGCTGGCTCTGATGCTTGGCAAGAAAAAAAACTGCCCTAGAAGTTAAATGTGAAGAGATTCTAAGGAAGGAGACATCTATTCAACCTCGTATCACAAGTCCCAAATGCCATAGGCTGTGGCTGTCTTGTTTTTATCTAATTTGATCTACAGGTTACAGGAGGGCAGGGAGAAGGCTTTGCATCACTGAATGCTGCATGTTTGAAACAAAAGACAAATATAGTGGTGCCTCGCATAGCGACATTAATCCGTGCAGCAAAAATCGCTGCTAAGCGATTTCGTCACTATGCGATTTTAAAAAGCCCATAGAAACACATTAAAACCTGTTTAATGCGTTTCTATGGGCAAAAAACTGACCTTAAAGCGAAGATCCTCCATACTGCAGCCATTTTCGCTGCCTCTTAAGCGAGGAATCTGTCCCTAAACACAGCGGGCGGCCATTTTTTTTACCCGGCGGCCATTTTGGAACCGCTGATCAGCTGTTTAAAAAACCATCGCTTTGCGATGATTGGTAAGTGAAACAGGGAACTGATCATCGCAAAGCGAAAAAAAAACATTTAAAACATCACAATGCGATCGCTTTTGGGATCGCAAAATCTTCATCGCTTAGCGGTTTCGTCGCTAAACAGAGCGCCCGTTAAGCGAGGCACCACTGTATGATCCTTTGCAAAGACCAAGCAAGCACATTCAGGGAACAAACAGTTCTGCAAGTCCTTCCTCCTGAAATGATAACTTTCATAGGACTAGGGCCAATTCTTTATAGGACAGCATTCAGATATACAACTTCCCAAAAATGTGTGCCTAATGTATGAGTGGTATATTCCCAGAAGTTCCTCTCAGTGGCCCTTACAATGACCAGGTCACTGAAGAGTATAATTATTATGAATTGGAACAATGGAGGTCAAAATTAGAATGTACGTATGTAGAGTCACTGGTCAGCACATGCACATCCAAAAAGGGAAGGCAATCTCTTGCAAGCAAGAAGAAAAACAATGAAAATAAATTCCCCAACCTTCTGAAATTCCACCCAAACCACCTTTAACCTGTTCATCTTCAACTGCACTTATTTCATAAATCATTTTCTCATAACCCAAGTCTTTATGGTGTACTATTAAATCAAAGCATGAGAGGAAAGATATTCAAACTCATTATGATCAAGAGCAGAATGCCAGACAGAGAAAAAGAGGTGAAGAGGAAGTGCAACAACAGAAGGCCAGCTTTGGTGTCTAAGCTAGTGCCATCTAAAGAAATGGAACAGATCTGGGGGAAACCCTCACCTTAATGTGTCTGTTCATCGCAGTAGACTGCGCTGCACGAACTAGGCCCTCAAGCTCTGCACCACTGAAGTTCTTGGTCTCTACAGCCAGCTCGGAAATATCAACATCTGGAGCCAGCAACTGGTGGGTCCGCATTCTTGATGTGTGGATGTTGAGAATCTGCATTCTCCCCTTTTCATCCGGTAAACCTACAAAGGGAGCACCAATGAGGGTTCTTTGGTTTAGAGAATGCTACTGTCTTTCACAACCATAATACTAGTATATGGAGAATAAGCCACCTTCCCCAAATCTGGTTGTCTCCAGATGTTTCTGGAGGGCAAAGAAGACTGTATTTTATTATCTGCTTCACTCAAGGCATAACAATGATTGACATCCTATGAATGGGAAATGAAATATTTCAATTGGAATGGCAGGTTTCAGACATATGTGCATAATTGGTTGGCAAACCACAGTAAATGGGTCCTTCTTACAGTTAAATGACCCACTGGTGATTTTAGATCAACAAGCTATCCATGGTATCTGCATCTGGGAAAGTATGCCTTATGGTTAATGGGAAGAAACTAGAATTTGAAACTATGGAAACTTTTATTTTCTTCTCTGCTCCTCTTGTATATGATCCCAAGGCTTTTCACAGTTCAATATAGCAGAAAACCACAGTTTTCCATTATATGAGCCTTTACCATTGCATTTCACAAGATAGGACTCTTTCCAACTGGGAGAACAGCAGGAACCAACATCCTTGTTTTGGAGTTCATATAACTCAAACAAATTAAATTTATCTATATGAATCTGGGAGTTGTATACCGTAATTTATTTGGTACTGTTCACGGAAAGAAAAATGAAACAGACCACTCACTACTGGAAATTAGGTATCCTCAACTATAACTCCCATAACATGTAATCACTTAGGAGAGTTAGAATCCCCAACTTCTAAAGGGTTTCAGGTTACCCTTTGGATTAGGGATCCTGAGTCTCATGCATCCAATGTTCACTCTGTTTGAGCTATGCTAGCTACTTCCATGGTCAATTTTCTGCTTCATCTATGCTGTTTGTTTTATTATAATTACCTTCCCTTTATTTGCTTCAGTATGTTGCAGTTTTTGCCTTTCCTACAGAGTTTGGTAGCACAAATGTTCTCAGTTCTAACTTACCAATCTCCATTTTCACCTCTAGTCGCCCAGGTCGCAGGAGAGCTTCATCTATCAGGTCTGGTCTGTTGGTCATACCTAATGGACCAAATGAAAACGGTTAGCAAAGATAGTGATGCAACTTGAAAAAACTGAAGACTGCAATTATTTCTTAGCTTAACTGGAAGAATCTTTTCTGCATTAGACCCAAATGGGGATGCACCATAATTCTTTATCCTCTCTCCTCTGAAAAACTGAACCAGAGCCCTAGATAAGCAGCACATTTAAGCTAGTAGAGGCTCTTTCTTTTAACACAGGGGATTCACCCATTCAAGAGTCATCGTGTGAACCAGCAGTTCACAGGCACGAAGTACATTACAGCCAACATGATCAGTTCTATATGGATGTTATTGTACCTGCATCTGTATCTAACTTTGGTGTGAAACCATGCTAGCACTATCCTTTCCTACTACTTAATTGTTTAAGAATTGGGACAAAAGTGTTCACAGGAATACAATTCATGCAAATGTCAGCCAATTTTTCACTCTCCAAGCTAAGTTCTTCAGGCATAATCCATCTCAATCAGCTGCTCAAGTCCTACAGGTCACCTACTAAGAACTCCTATTTCAGTCATATAAAATAAATCTGAGGATTGAGATAATGAAATAGTAGGCAGTTCTCTGCACAAAGCCTCCTCTTTCTATAGTAACCACAGCAAAGACCCGCCCCCAAAGAGAACAAAGTGTTTTCATACCAATGACCAAAATGTTGTTCAGCTGCTCAACCCCATCAATTTTTGACAGGAGCTGGTTCACGACTGTGTCATGGACACCAGTGCTACCCGCCATACTTCCTCTTTGTTTGCAGATGGCATCAATTTCATCGAAGATGATGATGTGGACACCACTGTTTGCACCCAGCTAGTGAAAAGAAACCAAAGCACATCATAACCTTCTCTGTAACGGTGAGGGTTTTGGAAATAAAATCAATCCTTCTGAATAACAAGCCAATGACTAAGACTACAAGAAACTTGGCCTACAAGGTACTGGATTTCACAACATTCTAAAAGTACACAGTTGTTGAAGGGTTTACTATGACATGGATCTACTCAACCCGTTCTTAGTCAATATCTTGGAGTAATGCAAATAATTGCAGGCTAATCCATTTACAGACCAATCAGAAGAAAAGAACTAGAGAACAAAGCATTATTATATTCCTATGAGGAACATGACATTTTATTCCATATATAGTTCATTCTAAGGTCTGAGCACGGATTGTAAAACATTAATCCTAGAAGTCCAACTATATTCAATGAACACCATCTTACACTAACCCTGGTGATCCAAAACAAACTACTGTATAGTAATTTCTACTGCTACATCCAAAATGTCTTTGCCTGCAGCAGAATAAATATATTATTCTACTGGGTGATGACATTTTTAATGCTTTCCCATGCAATATCCCACTCCTTGCAATTTGTAGCAAATCTAACACAACAAAGCAGACTGAGTGTCCAGTGTCCAATGCACATTTGTGTCCAGTGTGCCACTGCCTTACAGAAGATTATTATTTTGCTTTATTGTTCACTGGATCTCTGAGTCGCAAGTGGAAACTAAATCCAGAAAGGAATACTGGAAATTAACATACAGGTCCATTAGCTTAGTGGCAAGTTCTGTATACTTCTGTAGGAGAAGCACTGGAGGTGAAAAAAGAAACAGACATGGCTGTTTGCCACCCTGGCAAAAAGTACTGCGATGTGCCTCAGCCTCAGTGTGAAACTCAAATCAGAGGCTGAAGAGATGCACACCTTAATTTAGCAAGCCAAGGTAGACTTTACAACCTTTCTGTTGAGAGATGTGGGATGAAAACAATATAAAGAGCGAGTTGGAACATTTAAGTTCACTTGTTCTTTCGATACGCATCTTAAGTGCCCTTTGCAGGATTACACATGCCATAAGAGGAGGAGTGGGAGGAATATGGGCAGAAGTTAGATAACGCCAACACCTGAGATCTGTAGAGCGCTATGTTGATCTCTGGGATGGAAAGCTAGGTTCTGGATAAAAGTGACTGCATCCATGTCAAAATGGCAGAGACAATCCCCCAGTGAAAATGCTCCCCTTGTTAAGAGTTGTTGTTTTCGTTAAGTACTGCTTGGAACAGAAGGTAAGTAGTGAGTAGGAGTTAAATTTGCAAAACCTCTTAAGAGAAGCAAGAAAACAAGTAAGAAGAGACAAGCTCTTAGAAAAAGTGAAAGGAAAAGAGTGATTTCTAGAGTGGTCAGATTAAGAGTTGCTAAAAAAATATTCTAAACAAGGAAAGGAACTGGGGTAGAGCTGGAGGGCATCCTCTTTTTGAAAACAGTAGTCATATGCCCTACCTCTGCTGGGGAAGGAACAAGACACAACCCCACTCTTCCAGATGTTTTTGCAACAATTCCCAGAAAACTGAGGGGCAACCACATAGAAAGAATATTCTTTAGATGTTCATGTTCAAAGAGAGGAAACTTAACCTAAACAAGGTTAAAGGTTGTCGTGGAACAGAGATGTAGAGACAGCTTCTGTGAGAGACTTGCTCTGCAGGCTATCATCTTCACCCTGAATGGACACAGGCTTCTCCTGCCTGCTCTGGCATTTACAAACCAGATGATTAGAATTTGCATTGCACCAGAAAAAACAAAGTTGTGCTATATAACATCCTGACTGTAAAAATAGCCCCAGCACCAGAATAAACTGCTGAAGGAAACCATCAAATCTCCGTCCTTCAATGGTTTGAAGTTTGGTAGGATCTTCTAAAGATGTGTTAAGGTATGCAATGTCTTCTTGAGGTGCATATGGTGGTTGGCCCCTTAGACTCCTAGGAACTTTTTACAATGTCATTGCAATGCTCTGAACTACCACAGCTGGAAACAGGCATCAGGAAAGCTGCTGGGAGCAACAGTGTTGCGTCTGCCCTCTTTTCCCCTCATCACATCTACTGTTATCAGAACGCAAGACACAAATCACTTTGTGAGTTTTCCACACTCATATCTGATTTCAGTGCATGCTGTTTGTAGGGCAGAAAATACTGCAACACAGTGATGTCATCACACATTTTACAACAGCCAGTTTTATAGGGAAGTAGAGAGGAACCAGACAAAGCAGGGCTACTGCTCTGAGTGGCAGCCATGCATGCTCCATTATGTCTTGTTCCTGTCCGAATACCCATCTCAGGTTAAAGCAACCACATTCATTCATTCTTGTCAAGTTACCCTTCTCTGTTCTTCTTCGGCATCTGCAAAGAGCTTGCGAATGTTGGCCTCTGACTCGCCAACATATTTGTTGAGGATTTCAGGTCCGTTCACTATTTTTGGTTCTCGGGCATTCAACATCTTGCCAATCTGCCTGGCCATCAGAGTTTTACCACAGCCAGGAGGGCCATATAAGAGGATGCCTTTCACATGTTTGCAGCCTAGGAGGGAAAGAAAAGAGACACTTATTGTGCAATTGAAGCAGAAGGTATTTCCTGGCCAGAGAAATACAAGACAACACTGTTTTGTCATAGGTGTCTTGCCTACAGAAACTGCAATTGTAGTAAACTACAAATATTAACAGTATTTAAATAACAATGCTTGGGCTATCGATTTGTTCATTGGGTTTCAGTCAACATTGGTGACAACAAGAGCCAGACGTCTGGATCCAAACTACTGTAGTATTAAGCTATTGTTATCACTAGCCACCATCTTGGTACCATCTCGGTGGGAAGGTAAAACGGTGTTCCCTAGTCAA